CATTTGCCACTTTACTTCATTATCATCATCATCGAGATTCATTCTGACCATTCTTCTACAACAAGCAACACCTCCTCCTCCGCCGCTGCCTGGCTCCCTTCACTTCTCCTCGCCTGCCTGGCAGCCCTCGCTCCCGCCAGCGAGCATGGCGACCCACCAGCTGTCCTTCTCTGAGCTTCCTCACCAACCGACTCTCATTCTGCCCATCTTCCTGAACAAGCACCTCCAGCACCAGACTGTCTATCATATAACTTATATTATATAAGAAAACCACATTAGAGTTTCCTTCCATCCTGAGTGCTAGACAACATTAATATCTCGATACCCCTACAATGTAATGCTGTATAGATGGACCAGCTGCTTCCAGGAGATAAATTAGTGAAAAATCATTATTTCATTATTACAATTAAAAAAATTAACGATGTTAACTTTCCACGCCAAAAAACACTCACCTAATAACAAATCTAGCCGATAAGATAACTGACGGAAGAATAAGGTGTTTCTTTGTTGCTGGGTCATAACCAGCTGATTTAGCAGCAGGGAGTATATAGGGCGTTCCATGTCTGGGTCATGCACTTCTTCTTCATCACATTTCTTAGCCATCGTTTTATCATCCAAGTTAATAAGCAGCTCATGAATCACTTCACTTTTTTGCACAATCTTAAAAATGCCATGGTAAGGAGAATAATAGTTTTTAAACAATATAACACTTGGCTTGGCTTAAAACTGAGAGCGTCACATTAACTACATCCGTGCACTATAGTACTGTATCAGTGAAAATTGTAGATGCATAGCTGCGTGGGAGGGTGACGAGTGTATCCAGAGATGCGGGTGATGGAAAACATTGGGATTTAAAATAGTGTATCCAGACTGTCTCGTACTAAAATTTAATTATGGGCGTCATTGATTCGCTTTAAATTGATGTATGTACTGTATATATATATATATATATATATATATATATATATATATATATATATATATATATATATATATATATATATATATATATATATATATATTAAAACTATGAAACATCTTCAATTTATATATTAATAAAATGATTATTATAGTTTTAATAAGTGCAATAGATAATAATATTCCCCATATAGTTAAAAGGCTATCTTCTTTAATTTCGCCTTGTGTGGGAGATTAAGATATTCACAAATGTTTTTTTTAGTAACAATCTCTGTATGTTTGGAAATTGTACCACAACTGATAAGGGGCCATGCATATAGCTCTGTATTGCTAGGTATCTTCATATTACCAGTTTCAGAAATAGTTACATTACTTAATCTATCAGTCTTATTTAATTCGTATATATACCAAATTGTCCTGGAAAGATTGTTTTTGGTAATACTAGTAATATTCATGTCTACCTTATCAATCTCTACCGAGCTAAATGAATTTGTCGTCTCTCTAAAATGTCTTAAAATCAAGACTCCAGTACAACTATTATACATTATTATACATTCATGATTAATAATTTTGCCTCCTTCAACCAATGTTTCCTGAAAAGGAAAGAAAAAATTCTGTTGTTGTCGCTGAGGTTCTAATAAACTAAATAATATTTAATAACCATCAAGTTTTTGTATTATTTCTTTCGAAGAGGTAATGGGACGTAATAAAGTAATATTGGTGTATATAGGTGCGTAGTTAATTTCACTTGTATTGTCAACATTAACAATGGTTATGGTCCTTGGGTTTATATTATGACCATTTTTCAACCCGATAATGTCAGTATCTCGTTTTATAGTAGTTTTAGATATACTGATAGTAGTGGTGACAAGATAAAGAGATTTATTTATCTTATCTAAATGCTTCTCTATGTTTTCCAATAAATTATCATCTTTAGTATTGTTAGTAAGGCTAGTAATATTTAATTTCATCAAAATCAAATCGGGTGGAAATAGAACCAAATTGCATCCAAAAACATTTATAATAGTTTGAACGTATGTTTCATTAATATTTAATTCAAATATCAGTACATACCAAGAAAACATATCAATTTCATTAATTTCAAATTCATCAGCATTACCCGTTTTCATATTGACGACATCTATATCGTATATAGTATATCCTCTGTATTTATTTGTAGTGGTAAGACGCGAATACAGTATATATATATGTATTGTATGCTTTATGTTTGTGTTAAATTCTTTAAAATAACTTTACCATAAAAATGTAAGCTACGAATTTGAAAATGCAATTTATATGTGTTTTCATAAAATGCTGATATGCCAAGAGTTGATGATCTGCTGATGAATTTAGAGTTTTTCGATAAACACCTTGTTGCATATTCATGTTACGATACACTAATTGTAGTTTTACTATTCCTTAGTAGTACACTGGTACTGTTATGATCGTATGTAGTAACAGTAAAGGTTGTTGTAGTAGTAGCTGGATGAATTGCTGAAGAACTTGCTGTCACAATTAGGATTAATGCAACGGTTGCCCACATTTTGGATGATAATTAGTTACTAAACATAAGTGTTGAACCTTATATATATGTATGTACTGAAGATGTCTTGAATAAAGACGAAAGCTAAGGTACTCCGTTGTTTCCATTTTCCCGTGTGATTTTATCAAGATGTACTGTATGTGTGTTTCCCCAAAAAATATATGCGCATGCGCACACTCATGTCTCGTCCGATCACCCCGAATAATAACAGCCAGCGCACATGTAGAAAGATAGAGGATAAGAGGAGGATGGATGAGAGGGGTATGATGGAATAGGAGAGTGAGTCAGTTAATATTACGAGACATGTATATAACTACGCTCTGTTTCAGGAATATTCTATGTTGTTTATCACCCTATGTTTTCACTCTATGTTCATCTCTTTTTTTTAGGACTTGATTTAACAGCCAATGTCCCACCATAGGGTCTACAATACCAAAAAGTCATACAATGGGTGCTCAAATATCCTCATTAGTAACTAATCCAAAAAGAATTAAAAGAATGTTGGGTAAAGGGAAATATCATATTGATTGATTGTTTTGAAAAAATTCTTATAGATTCTGAGAATCTCATATTAAGTGAAATTGATAATCTAAGCAATATAACTGTTATGAATATTCTGGATACAGCCATTCCAATTAAAAATGACACAATAACATTTACATTGAAATCATGGGATACCGAAGGAATACGGAATACTCTTCATAATATTCCTTCTGAAGAAATGAAAGATGAAGAGAAAAATAATAAAAAAAAGTCTAGCATTAAAATTAGAACACTTTAAAATAATCCAAAATATATCAAAGACCGATGGCGATTCAATATCACTAAGCAATAGTCCATCCCAATCTTATGAAGTCGGTCTTAAAGGTCATATACCTACTTTACTCTCTCGCAAAATTTGTATCCAAATTAATATTATAAAAGATAATTGATAAATACTATACATAAATATAATCTACTATATTGACCTAGTAAATAAAAAAAATAATAAAATGAAAAAAATATAATTACTTAAAACTATTATGAATATAAAACTACTATTTTTATTTATTTTTATATATTATACCGTATGTAATATAATATTAGTGAAAATGTTTTAAAATATAGAGGAACAAGAAATAATATCTAAGGATGATAATATCGAACTATTAACAATTCCCTCAATATCTCTTAATGAATTTGATATAGGCACTGTGGATTGTTTAACCAACAAGGTAGTGTGTAATACTAATGTTGATTGTGAAATATGTGAGAATATTAAATCTTCCGTATCTTGTATCGATGGTTTATGTCAAATTTTCAATGAACAAGATAAAAAATGGTGTTTGAATGGGGAATAGAAAATTAATATTTTCAAATCGATGTGTTGAAAACAGTATGTTCTTGTTCCGACGATTATGTGGGCAATAGGTGTGAATATTTTAATTAAATGAAACCAAATACGGACCTACTTGTATCATACAGGTTCAGTTCCCGAATCTAAGATGTTGCCAGCATATATTTATATGTTACTACTAAAAACAAGTATTTGTTGGATTCTCAGGTACATAAAATACTTATCTAATGTTGGTTGAATGAGTTGGAGATATTATTAAATACTGCTGATAAGGTGGCGAATTTTTACTTGCGTATTATTTCATAAATATAATGCAGTAACCGCCAACCCCAGCCAACCCTGAATCACACGTGTTTCCCCTCAGCCAGTCAACCGCTTGAGCTGTGGTCGAATGGGAAAGTAACTTGTTCATCTTCTGATGGTAAGTTAATGTATTTTTACCCGTATATTGAATTGGGAATGTGCTGTGTAGGTACACTCAGTGTTTCCTTCTTTAAATGAATATGAAAAAGAGGTGTAGCATCACTAGAAACAGTGAGGGAGGTGTTAGGAAGGGGGTGGGGTGAAGGGAAGGGGATGGGGTGAATGGAAGGGGGTGGGGTGAAGGGAAGGGGATGGAGGTGAATGGAAGGGGTGGGGTGAAGGAAGGGAATGGAGGTGAATGGAAGGGGTGGGGTGAAGGGGAAGAGGTGGGGTGAATGGAATGTGGTGTGGGTTAAAGGGAAGGGATCGGGGGATGAATGGAAGGGAGTGGGGTGTGAAGGGATGGGAATTGGGGTGATAGGAAGGGAGGGGCGATGGAGGAAGGGAAGGGGGTGGGGATGATAAGAATGGGCTGGGGATGAAGGGAATGGGTGGGGGGTAAGAGAAGGGGAAGAGGGGTGGTAGGAAGGGGGTGGAGGTGGTAGGAAGGAGGAGGCGGTGAAGGGAAAGGGGTGGAGGGTGAAGGGAAGGGAATGGGAGGTGAATGGAAGCGGGTGTAGGGGTGGAGGGTGAATGGAAAGGGGTAGGGCGAAGGGAAAGTTGTAGACGACGAAGTATTGTACCACAGTATGTCAGTGATAGTTGTTGGTTGTTGCACAAGTTGATGCTAATTTTACCTTCCATACATGTGCGTTGCGTTTTTTTAAATTTGTACCAAAGAGCATTTCTTGCCTGATGCATCAGTAAGCAAGTATATATATAATTTCAGATTCTTCAGTGATGTCCAGAAAGCGGGTGTACAGAGAAGAATTCCTTGACATTGGGTTTACGCTTCTCATCGATCATGGGGTCGAAAAACCTCAATGCATTATATGTGGCGAAGTGCTCAGCCACGAGTCGCTCAAAGAAAACAAGCTCAGGCGCCATCTTCAGGGAAAGCATCCGACGCTGGCAGAGAAAGGCCGCCAGTATTTTAAGAGGAAAGAAGAACAACTGAAGCGTCAGCGGTTAGACACCCCTATGAACACAGCAGAGTTTTCTGTTCGGCAAGCAACAATTGCATCCTATCTGGTTGCAAAAAGAATTGCCAAGTGTAAACAGCCACACACAATTGGGGAAAATTTGGTGAAGCCAGCAGTCCTTGATATGGTTCGCACTGTTATCGGAGATGATGCAGTGAAAAATATTTAAACTATTCCACTGTCAAACAACACAGTTAGCCGACGGATTCAAGAAATGTCGGCAGACATCAAAGAACAAGTAGTGGCTGCCATCAAGGAGAGCGGAAAATTCAGCTTACAGTTGGATGAGTCAACTGACGTCAGTGACGATGCACAGCTCTTGGTATAAGCGTGGTACCAAGGGAAGAGCGACATGGAAGAGAACTTCCTGTTCTGTAAACGACTGGATACGACAACAATAAGTGAGGATCTGTTCAAGTTGGTTGACAGCTTCATCAAGGAAGAAGACCTAAGCTGGGATCAGTGTTTCAGTGTGTGCTCAGACGGAGCACCGGCAATGCTAGGGGCACGTCAGGGTTTCAATGCTAGGGTAAAACAAGTCAACCCCGCAGTGATAGTGGTTCATTGTCTGCCCCACCGGGAAAACCTTGCCTCCCGGAAACTGTCACTTGAGCTTAACTCTGTGATGGAAAATGTGATTCAAATAGTAAACTTTATTAAATCATCAGCTCTGAATTCAAGGCTGTTCAACCAGATGTGCTCTGATATGGGGTCGGAGTATGAACACCTGCTTTACTCCTCTGCCGTCAGGTGGCTGTCTCGAAGGAAAGTGCTCCAGAGAGTGTTTGAAATGCATACACAGGTTGAAATCTTCTTGAACGAGAAGAAACACGCACTGGCATTAAGGCTTTCGGAACCAAGGTGGTTGCTTCAGCTGGCATATCTGGCAGATATATTCTCCGAGTTGAATTTGCTGATCATGTCCACGCAAGGAAGGGATGAAACTTATCTCACTTTGTCAGAAAAACTCAAGGCATTCAAGGCGAAACTGAGATTGTGGAAGGGAAAGATTGAACGGGGGAAAGCTGCATCCTTTCCACTCTTGAACCTTTTTCTCGAAGATGAAGAGGACGTCTCACTTCTGGATGTACAAAATATCATTGTTGAGCATCTTGAGAAATTGATTGATGAGTTCGACAGGTATATTCCGGATGAAGAATTGCACGAGAAATGCAAATGGGTGCGCAGACCCTTCGATGTTCAATTCGAAGACCTCTCAGAAGAAGAGTCTTCCATTCGAAGTCTCCAAGAGGAGCTCATCGAAGTACAACGTGATGAAACTCTCCGCTTCAACTTTCAGCGACAGTCACTCGGCGTGTTTTGGACTGCTGTTAAGAAGGAGAAACCAGTCCTTGAAAGCGAAGCTGTGAAAGTGCTATTGCCATTCGCTACTACTTATTTGTGCGAATCCGGGTTTTCCGCTCTGGCTCTTATCAAAAGAAAAAGCAGGAATCGGTTGCAACCTGAACACGATTTCAGAGTAGCACTTTCCTCGACTGAGCCACGGCTGGAGAAACTTACCAGCCAGATTCAGGCTCAAGGCTCCCATTAGATGAGATTACCCAACTCTGATTTCGAAGTTGATCAGAGACATTTTCATTTTTAGTTAGTCTTTGTGGGATGTGACAAAACAATAGTATTTCATCTTAACATTGAAGTACATGTTTCGTTAAGATCAAGCCTTCTTTAAAGTTCGTTTAAATGCGTATTACATTAATGAAAAACTATTATCTTGTTTACTAGAATAAAATTGAACCATGTTATTTGTGCTTTTTTAGCATCCTTACAGTACCTTTTTTTACACTGTCAATTCGTAAAATAATAGGTATTTATAGTTATACACCACACCCAGGAAT